ACTGCACCACCTAGCTGCCCTGACCAACAATCTTAATAGTGAAAATGGCACTAAAATAGGGAGTCAGAGGGCTAGAGTTTGAACCCTGTCTCCTCATACTGATGACATGATGTTGAGCTGTGAGCCTCACGGAAGGTAGGGATTCTAAGATGCAAAAGTAGGTATCAAATGAGACCACTTTAGAACTCCAAAGATCTGTATAAATACCTTTATTGTTGCTTGTATTACTCAAACATATTTTTGATGTGTTTATCATGCTGTTTTTGAAAAGTGTATCTCAAGAATTTGAGGATGGTACTTTTTTTTTTTTTAACATTCTGTCTTTGAGATCTCTCTCCTGGTACCTTCTAATGGGATAGAGCAGGGTAGAAGTGGAGGGAGGCAGAGACAATGGTCAGGGTTGGAAATGAGTGAGCAATTACACAAATTGTCAGAGATGGGGAAGAGAAAATTCTCACGCAAGCCATGTTGGCTTCAGTTGTCGCTTTTCCCTTCCCTTCCTACTTCAAGTAATGTCTCACTATGTGTATCCAAATAGGTTCCCAGACATGAAGTCTCAATTTCAAGATAATTCTCCCTATTTAATTTCTCTTCTTCTCCCCATTTCTAAAGGCAGTTGTCCTATGATGATGGTACCTATGCTACTAAACAAAATCTAGGGTAGATAGCTAATAATTATAAATACCTAATATTTAATTAGCTTCTTAAAGTTAACAAAACAATTTACATACATTATCTCACTAGTTACTCAAAACAACCCTGTAACATAGGTGCCACAGGTTTAAACACTGGGTGGCACTGACGGGCACTTGTTGAGAGTTCCGAGCTTACTTAACCAGTTTGTATATATGCTGCTGGCATGCAACCATTGAGTAAGTGTTGTGTTCTCTGTGGTTACCAGAGAGTCTGAGAACTTCTATCCCTCAGTTCTGTCTCTCAGTGTGGGGTTGGCCCTCTTTGAAAGATGAACAACGATAGATGTTAGGGGAATATGGAGATAGGGAGATCCCCAGTCAGAACTTTGCTCTGAGCCCCTACCCCCTGGATAAACCTACTTTCTTCTGGATATGCTGTATTTTGATTAGGAATACACACATGACCTTTACATACATACATGGATCCATAGATAGGCACATGCACATAGAAATGCATATATGCATGCATACATACACACACATACATGCATGCATACATCGATGGATTCATAGACAGATACATATGTGCATGGATAGATAGATACATACATGTATATGTACATAAATGCATAGACAGAAAAATAGAAATATCGTGTGTATGAGAGAATTGAAAATATTCATTTAAAGGAATCTCAGTGACTATCAAGTCCGATTTATACCTGACCGAGAGGTCTGTAGATAACATAGGTCAGAAAGGGTTATATAACCTTTGTTTGAAGCCCTCTGGTTGGGGGAATCCATTCCCAAGGCTTCCCATTCCCCTTCATGATAATTCTAATTGGCAGTAAGTTCTTCCCTACACAAAGACTACATTTCTCTCCCCTTAACTTCTTCCCTCTGTTCCTAGTTCTGCCCTCTGGGACCAAGTAAAACAAGTCGAATTCCTTCCTTCATAATAACCTTTCACATACTTGAAGACAGTTAAAATATCCCCCTTGAGTCTTTGCTCATCTGGAGTAAGTATTGCAATGTTTATTTTACTCGCTAATGGATTGAATGGAAAATGTAATTATTTGCAATTGTTTTGTAGGCTTAGACTTGCAAGATTAGCACAAAACTATTTACACCCTTCTAAGCATTATGTGGCTGTCACAAAGAGAACAGTGGCACCTTGGGTTGTGGCTGTGTTTGCCAACCATTTAGGCTTACCTTAGGGGTGGATATGTAAGACTGGTAATACATCATTATCTTAGCCCTCAGAATAGCTGTCTGGGAAGTAGTGAGGTCACAGATTCTCTCCACTGACAATTAATAGTAGGATTGATTATTGGATATGTCGGGTGATCCATGCATTCAGTACCTCCCTCAGAGATGGTGGACAAAACCCTGCTCAATGGTCCCCTGCATGGTCTTCCTGCCCTAAGCCCTGAAAAACCTGGATGAAGCAGTGACCTCTAGTAGGATATAGCTCCTGAAATCTAAGTAACTCTTAACTCTGCCTTCTCTGGTCACCAAGAATTTTATGCCCTTTAGGAGGATTGAATGGCTAAGTACCAGCAATGCTTCCCTACCCTGGTGGTCATGCAGCTTTCTTGTAGCTGACCACAGTAAAGTTTTGTGCAAGGCATCTCAGAGGCAGCCAGAGACTGGAAGATAATTTGTGAGCCCTGACTCTTGGGATCCTCAGGTATCCAGAAAAATGATACATGATTTCCACATGGGTGTTTAGGAAGTTAGTAGGAATTGCTGTCCTCCAGACAGATATGATCTAGTCCATTAATGTTACGTCATATCTGCATTCTTCTCCAGGGTCCCCTCCTGACTCTCTGGACTTTCTCTACTATGCCACAGCATCTCCTCACTCTGTATGTACACTCTATCCCTGGGGCCTCTTTGACCAATTGGTCAGTTCCTCCCACAAACTCCATTTTAAGGGGATCGTTCAGGTAGGTCAGCCACTTTTTTCTACTGTCTGCGCTTCACTCCTGACTCTTCAGATTTTCCCTAGTGGGTGCTGATACAGCCACCTTCTCTTCCTTCTCTGCTCCTCTACCCCTCCCCCTTCCATCTTCCTTTCATGTATTATCTTCCCCCATTGGAATGTAGGCTCCTTGAAGGCAGAGACTCATTCTTTCTGCTTAGATTTGTATTCCTAGCACTTAGCAGGGGCTGGTACAAGGTAGTAAGTGCTTAATAAATGTTTTTTTGACTTGACATAAATATTGGTTAAAAAACTGGTGCTGTTTAGCCTGGAGAAAAGATTTAGGGGAAGGGAGTATGTCATAGCAGCTGTCTTCACATATTTGAAGGGCTGTCATTCAGGATAGAGTATTACACTTGGTTTGGTTGTCCCTAAAGGGCCTAGCTAAGAATGCTGGGTGAAAATTGAAGAACAGAAGATTTCCTCTAGATATACAGAAAAATTTCCTAACAATTAAAACTCTCCAGAAGTGGAATGGGTAGCTTTAGGAGGTGAGTATACTTGAAGGAAAGATAGGATGACCGCTTGTTATGGATGTTGTAGAATGTATCTTTGCTCAGGTTTGAGCTGGAGCTTGAGGTCTCTTCCATCGAAATGAGAGGGGCACCACCTACTCCTCTAAAGTCTACAGTTTTATATTCCGAGATAATGCTTTGTAATTTAAGTAAATAGTTATCTGGAGTAGGTGGTACAGTTCATAGAACACCAGACTTGGAGTCAAGAAGTCCTGGGTTCAAATTCTGTTTCAGGCATTTACTAGCTGGGTGACCCTCAGCAAGTCACTTAACTTCCCTCTGCCTCAGTTTCCTGAACTATAAAATGGGAATAATGATAACACCTACCTCACAGGGCTGTTGTGAGGATCAAATCAGGTAATATATGTAAAGTGCCTGGCAAAATGTAAAGCACTATATACATGCTAGTGGTGTAGGGGGTGGCCAGGAAGGAATAGCACCTCTGGTGTGAGGGCTTGCCAAGTCTTTTTCAGGACTGCTCATCCTTTGATGTCCACCTTTTTTTTTTTTTGTGAGGCAATTGGGGTTAAGTGACTTGCCTAGAGTCATACAGCCAGAGAGTGTTAAGTGTCTGAGGTCAGATTTGAACTCAGGTCCTCCTGACTCTGGGGCTGGTGTGATGTCCACCTTTCACTCAACTCTCACCTGTGGTTCCATGAATCTCTAGCATGCTCAGTGGCCACAACCCAGTAAAACCTTGGCAAACAGGCTAAACCAAGTTGAGGGTAACTGATAGGTCTCAAACTCACTGGGGAGTTAGGAGATGTCTGCCCTAAGCATGTGAAGACTCCTCCAGGCAGAATGGGTGGATGAGAACAATTTGTTCCAATGACAATGAAGATGGCAGAAGTAGGCTCTATGGAACACTTAGAGCTTGGTCAAACATCAAAGATGCCAAGGTCATCCACTGCATCCCAACCATCACCAATCATCCTGACTTATGTCTTGCCACTGGATTTTGATGACTCAGGGACAGAGAATGAGGCTGGTGACATTGCACAACTCTACCTCATTTAAATCCAATTCACCCATGAGTCAAGACATTACCCCATGATGTCATTGATCCTCTTCAAAAAGGACAACCAACAACATTCTAAGGATGATGATGATGATGATGATGATGATGATGATGATGATGATGACAGTGACAGTGATGATATTCAGGTCTGAGAGCCACATTTTTACAAAAGACATTGACAGCTTGGAGGACATCATGAAGAAGGCAACCTGGATGGTGAAATGTCTCAAGTATATGCCATACAAGGATCAATTGAGGGAAATGAGGATGTGATATTTGGATGGCAGAGAGGAAAGTGGTAACTGTTAGGTTAAGTATTTTTTGGGCTGTCCTGTGGTAGAAGGATTAGATGTGTTCTGTTTGGCCTCAGATGGTAGAATAGGGGTAATGGGTGAAAATTTCAAAGAGATAGAATCAGGCCCAAGGTAAGGAAAACCTTACTATCAATTAGAGTTATCCAATAGCATAGTCAGTTTCTCCTCAATGAAGGTCTTCACTTGGGCTTATACTATGGAGTGGATTCTTGTTTGTATTTGGGTTGTTCTGTGTTAATAATTCAGCTCTCATTGCTAGATTAAACGTAACTTGGAGGACATCGGCATATCAGAGATTGCATTAGTATAGCCCACAACCCCTCTTTTCCTTCTCATTCTGTGTACCCAATGCATTATCATGTTCTTTGTTAATCTAGTAACAATTGGCTGACACATGATACAAATTGATATCGTGGAGGTACCATTTGGATGGACCATTTGACATTTTTCATTCTTTCTACATGACTATTTCACTCCTTTTCTGATCTGGTATACATTTAATTATATATTTTATGACTCTTCTTTTTAAGATTTGAATTTTATCATTATTTATTTTATTATGTATTAACAAATTCTAGAAATATGAACACTTCAACACACAAAGACTAGAAAAAAAGAGGATTGGATGTGAAACTATGAATTTCTATTACATACAATTTGTTTTTTAAAGTACATATTACATTTAAAACAAGAGTTCCCAAACCACCCTGCTTGTCTGGTTCTCTCCCGAGCTTCCTTCTGCTTTCTTCTATATATTTTTCAATGTTTCATCGATGCTCTTTTCTTTCATTCTTTGGGTTTTTTTTTTCTATGACTATCTACCAACTGTCTACCACTGTCTACCAACACCCTTCCCAACTTTTAGATGCCTCCCTTCCTAAATAGAAGCTCTTCCTTTAGGCAAATATGTAAAATCAAGTCAAAACAAACCCACACATTGCCTTTCCTAAGATATATGCCTCATTTTGCACCTCTGGTCTATCACCTCTCTGCCAAGAAGTGGGGAAGCACGTTTTGTCACCAGTCTTCCGAAGTTATGGTTGATATTTTGTTCATCAGAATTCTTAACCTTTTTAAAGTTGCTTTCTACTACGTTGTTATAGTCATTGTAGATACTGTTCTCTTTTTTTTCTGCAAACTTCACTCTGCATCAGTTCATACAAGTTGAATTGATAATTCAATGAAATACAGGCAGTCATACCTGGTTCTTTGGGTACACACCAGGAAAGATCATGATTGGCTGTGGGAAATGAGGCAACAATTGCATTTTAGTAACCACAATGGGCATAAGAGTGAACAGCACAGGAAATACAGTGACAGGTGATAAAAAGTGGGGATACAGAGGCAGACTATGTAGGGGAATGTATTGGTAAAAGGAGGCAGGCCGTTCGAGGAAGAGGAATGGAGAGGGGCTAAGTCTCATAACCACACGCTGGAGTTGGTAGCACTCAATAGCGTACACTCTTAGAGGATGGAAGGGTGTGGGGGATGGGTCAGGAGTTTGGAGTCTCATTTTTATAGGATTTTTTTAGGGACACTGACCAACTCCTTTCTGTGCCACATTGGTGTTAATTCATTCACACATCCACACCACATCAAAGTTATCATGAAACTTTAGAGTTACATCTCAGTTATCAGCATCATTTTGATGTTCTACTGGTCTCAGACTACAAAAATCTGGACTTTGTCTGGAATTTACATATCACAGGCCATAAACCTTGACAAGCAACACCTAGATGGCTTCCCCTGATTCAGCACATATTTCCAGGACATGAATTTTGGCCAATATATGATATAATTTGTAAATTATGCTCCTTTCATCTTTGGGAAAGTTTGTATGTGACTTTCAGTTTTCCCTTTGCAAATCTATTTCCTGCTATTGCCCCTTTATACCGGCTGCTTACACTGACTTGATGTGGGAAGGTGGTGAGGGGAACCAGAAGAAGATAAAATTTTAATACATGTTACCCTAGGTTGCTCTGAAACCATTCTATTCTTTGTTTCTTGTGACATCATATACCATAATTGTAATGAAATACCACTTCATGTAATTGGCAACCATTTTACTTCTGGTTATTTGTTACTATAATGAGAGTAGTTCAAGGGAGCTCCCAATCTATCAGATTGAAGCCTAGGGGTGCTATCCCATGGAGCATGTATAGGGATGGATCTAGGCCCTGCAACACTTCCAAAGAGGTATGTACTTCAGTTCAATGCTGAAGGCTTTGTGCTTTGAGGTGATGCAGCAATCTTGCAGTGCTCTCTTGGTTGACTAAAATGGCAAGAGAAAAGAGGCTGTTACAAAGAGGATTGGCCCTTGAGCCAGGAGGAGCCATCCACTTAGTAGAATTTAAGAGGAGTGATTCCACTCTTTCTCAGGAGCATATGGAGTTTGAGCTCTTCATCAGACTTCCAGGTAGTGAGAGGATCTCTTTTTCCTCCTTTCCAAGAGTTATGGGAACCATTTATATGTGTCAGTGAGAGGATGTTGCTTTTCTAGGTGAGCCTGAGGCAGTATTTCAATGTTCTATCTGCTTTTCCATGCTGTGTTCTTTCCTTGATCACAGATGACTGAACAGTGGTGCTAAGATGGTTGTTGCCAGCCTGGTTTCTAGTGGTAACCTTGTTAGTTCAAGAGGTTAAAAGTTGGTGGGTCCAGGTGCTTTCCACAAGGTGGTGGGGGTTTTTTTTTTCAACCATACTCTTTATAGAAGAGAAGATAACCTCTGACAGAAAGATCATTTGTACATGACTGGCCAGCCAGAAGCTATAAAGCATTCTCAAGTTGTTTGGACAGTATTGATCCAAGGTGAAAATGAAATGCCTATACAGTAGTACCATATAGTGATTCATGTTTTAATATGTAGGGCAGCTAGATGGCACAGTGGATAGAGCACCAGGTCTGGAGGTCAAATTTGAACTCAGGTACTTAACTAACTGTGTGACCCTGGGCAAGTCACTTAACACTGTTTACCTCTGTTTCTTCGTCTGTAAAATGAGCTGGAGAAGGAAATGACAAACCACTCCATTATCTTTACCAAGAAAACCCCAAAAGGGGTCACAAAGATTCAGGCACGATTGAAAAATAATTAAACAACAAGAAGAGTACATTGGAAATGATGGGTATCATGTTTTAAATATTTGTCAATCAATTCACATTTATGTGTGTATTGGCTAGGAATCCTTGCATTGATGACAGTAGGGGAGGAACTCCCTACCACTGGGACATAGACATCAAATCCCCAAATTCTGTTCCTAGCCCTGCTCAGTGGCTCATGAACCTAAAAGGCACTGCTGGAAGGAAATTCCCTGTTATTGAGGCACAGTGTTCAGGTCCCAGCCCTTGCACTCTACAATGAAGGGAAGATATCTTGACCAAAAGGCAAGGCTGCTAGGGCAGCTGGGTGGTGCAGTGGATAGAGCACTGGCCCTAGATTCAGGAGGACCTGAATTCAAATCCAGCCTCAGACACATAAAACTTACTAGCTGTGTGACCCTGGGCAAGTCATTTAGCCCCATTGCCTAGACAAAAACAAACAAACAAACAAAAAACCAAGACACAAGGCTGCCGAGAGTCCTAGTCCCAGTGATTCGTGGATCTAAGTGGAAACAATTACATACTAACTGAAGCACGAGGTTTAGTGACTCAGCCGTTGCATTCTCTAGAGAAAACAGAGGTAGCACTGGTGCTTCCTTTCCCTCTCCAGCCTCAGATCTGCCAGGAAACTTAGTCCCAGCTTTGGTCAGTGACCAATGAGTTAAGTGGAGCACCAGCTCACTTTATTACCCATCCGGTGGGTAGTTATTACAAGAAGCTCTAATAGTGGCACATTGACACCACGACCAGAGGTCAGTGGTGAAAGTAAACAGGACACAGAGGCCAGCTGTGCAAGTAGTGAAACCTAATAAGAAAGGGGAGAAAGGAGGAATACCTGGAGGAAGGCAGGGTCCCACTCAGGCAATTAGGTATTACCTACGGGGAAAAAAAAAAAGAGGTCACCCGCATGCATCAGCTGAGGGTAGGAGACAGCTGTGTTGTCAAGGGCCTCTTAGTGATTACTCCTCCACTGACTAAGAATCTGAATGGTGTTTTAATAGGGGTCTTCAAGGATGTCCCTTCTGCCATTCACACAGTGATGGTTCCCATCTCTAGGTACAGAATAAACAAAAGCTCACCCAAGGTTTCAATCTTGGTCATCTTGACAACGATGGCCCAATGCCAAGAAACAGGGTAGGAGATGGTCTGATCACCTTATACTAAGAAGCAGGGTAGGGGATGGTTGCTTATCAATATACACAGTCAGAGAAGACCAAGATATGTGCATGTGTGGTTGGGGAGTGGGGAGGATCAGCAAGGCAGCTAGAAAGTTTCCACAGTGAATTAAAACTGTCACAAGTCAGAGTTACAAGATGAACCCCAGGCCACAAAATGGAGGCTAAGAGATATCAAAGGATCACATAACAGTACATATTTTCCACTACAATGTGCCTTTAAAAAAAAGTGTTTCTTTTGTGGTAAGGGAAATTAAAAGCTGTCCTATGCCACAGCTGCTTTGTGTATTGAATACCTTTCTAGAAGAAACACTATTAATCCACTTTGGGAAAATCCTAGATATGAATCTATTCTAAGCTTTAAGAGGTTTTCTCTGAAGCTTCAGAAATGAATATGAGTCAGAAAGTACAGGAAGAACTCAATTGCCCCTTCTTTGGAGTCAAGGACACCTAGGATTGAATTAGGGCCCTGTTAGTTGGCAAGGGTGCTCCAGGATCTCTTGATCTCTTGATCTGTCTTTATACCGTAACCAAAAAAAAGTGCTGATATAAACATTCATGTACACGTGAGTCCTTTGGCCCTCTCTTTGACTTCTTTAGGGTATATACATAGAACTGGCATCATTGTATCAAAGGGCTAGGCACACAGTGACTTTGGAAGTCTATCACCAAGTTACTTTTTGGTTGGACCAACTCAGAGCTTCCCCAAAACGGTGAGTTAGTGTGTCTGTTTTTCACAGCCCCCCAACAAGGGCTACTTTCCTTGTTTCCCCCTAAGCTGATGATGGAGCCTCAGAACTGTTTTCATGTGTATTTCTTTTAATATTGTGATTTGGAACATTTATGCCTCTTCTGGATAACTTGTCATTTGTAACATGTTGAAGCCTATTTTCTACTTATTACACTATTTTTAATGTGAAATTTTCCAAGATCATAGCATTCCATGATTCACAGCCAGAGAACATCAACAGGCAAATATTGGCATCGAAGTGATGGGCTTTTATGTCTGAGATGCTCTTAAGGTCCTAGAAAACATTGTATGATTTTCTAAATGTGATTCAGTCCCATTTCATCCCCTTTGTGTTTAATTCCTGACCATTGTCTACCTGAAGCACCCGGTCTAGAGTCAAGGCAACCCAAGTCCAAATCCAGCCTCAGTAGCTTACTAGCTGTGTGTCCCTGGGCAAGTCATTTAACCCTGTTTGCCTCATTTTCCTTATTTGTAAAATGGGTTAGAGAAAGAAATGGCAAACAACTCTAATATCTCTGCCAAGAAATGGGGCACAAAGACTTGGACAAGACTAAAAAGAATCACTAAACAACAAAGCTTCCTACCATATGTTAAATAGGTTTAGATGAGACAGGATTTCATGGAGTTTACAGTCTGATGAGGGAACATGACATACACAGAGAGCTGCGATGGTAAGTGCATTAAGGGAAGCACAAGTTTTATGCAACATTCAATGGAGGGAACTTTGTTACTGCCTGGGGGCATCATGGTACCAATGTCTACCATCAACCAATTAATCCATCAACAATCACTTACTTATTAAGTGTTTGCTTTGGCATTGTACTAGGTACAGGAAACACAAATACAAAGAATAAAATAATCCTTAATTTCAAAGAATTTACAGTCTAACAGGGGAGACAACAAGAAAGATATAAAGTAGCACTGTGGTAAGCACTTTCAAAATATCATTTCATATGAGCCTCGCAACAACACTTGGAGGTAGGTACTGCCATTCCCTCCACTTTACAGTTGAGAGAACTGAGGCAGGCAGAGGTTAAGTGACTTACCTAGGGTCACACAGCTAGTATCTGAGGCTGGATTTCATCTCAGGTCTTCCTGACTCTAGGCCCAGTGTTCTATCCACCATGCCACGTAGCTGCCTAATAAGTTCATGCACAGATACATATAACAAATATAAAGTGAAAAAAAAAGAAGTGAAAAAATATTTTAAAAGAAGTTAAATACATGAAATACTCTAAGAATAGTTTAATCTAGAATTAGCTCAATTCAGTTAGGTTGGATCTGAAATGCATTTTTAGCATTGGAATCCAGCCTCAGACATGCACATGATCCTTGGTGTCTTCTGTACGTGAGATCTAGAACAAAATGTGTCAGGAACTCAGATACAGAAACTTGTGAATGCACCCCAGTCACCATAATGAAGACATGGGGAGAAAGGGAGGCCCCAAGACTGCTGCCACCACAACTGAACGACTTCTCTCTCTCTCTCTCCTCTCTCTCTGTATCTCTCTGTCTCTGTCTCTCTTCTCTCTATCTCTCTGTTTTTCTCTCTCTGTCTCTCTCCCCTCTCTCTCTTTCCCCCTCTATCTTTGTCTCTCTTTGTCTCTCTCTGTGTCTTTATCTCTCCATGTCTCTGTCTCTTTGTCTCTGTTTCTCTCTCCTCTCTCTTCTCTCTCTCTTTCCCCTCTCTATCTCTTTGTCTCTGTCTCTGTCTCTCTCTCCTCTCTCTGTATCTCTGTCTTGGTCTCTCTATCTTTCTCTCTTTGTCTCTCTCTGTGTCTCTCTCTCCTCTCTCTCTCTCTTTCCCTTCTCTATCTCTGTCTTTGTCTCTCTCTGTCTTTATCTCTCCGTGTCTCTGTCTCTCTCTGTCTCTGTTTCTCTCTCCTCTCTCTTCTCTCTCTTTCTCCTCTCTGTCTCTTTGTCTCTGTCTCTCTCTCTGTCTCTCTCTCTCTCTCTCTCTCTCTCTCTCTCTCTCTGCAAGTGCTCTGCTCATCACCAGATATAGCCAGCTTCATCCATAACACACTAGCTTCTTTCCCACTGTCTGACTCCCCTGAATATTCTAATGAAAATGTGAGTGTAATCAGCCTTCACTCAACTTGGCTATTCATGGAGGCCCCAGCTCTATAGGATATCAAGCTGGGGAATCTCCTCTATGTTATGCAAAATGCCTCAGGACCATGTAGTACCTCATTTTTCCTGCTGATGGAATGGTAGTGGCATTAACCTCTTTTTCTCTCCAAGCTCTCTATTCCTGGGCTAGAGATGGCTTCTTCATCCCACTTGCACCCACTCCAGCAGGTAGTGGATGGAGGAATGAGGGGGAATAAACATTTACAGAGTACGTACTATGTACCAGGGACTGTGCTAACCACTTTTTACAAATATTATCTCATTTAATCCTCACAACAATCCTGGGAAGTAGGTGCAATTATTCTCCCTATTTTACAGTTGAGGAAACCAAATCAAACAGAAGTTATGTGGCAGGCCAAGGATCATGTGTGTGTCTGCGGCTGGATCCCAACTCAGGTCTTTCTGACTCCGGTGCCAGCCCTTCATCCATTGCACCATCAGACCTGGTTCCCAGAGGATCAGTCATGTGGCTTCACCTCACTTTCAGGTTTCTTGGTGTGGAGAGAGACATACATTTAACCTATTCACAACTGCAGCTCCTGATCCCCAAATATTGTACTTTTCATTTAAACAAATCATCCAAGGTAGCACCATTAACAATCATGAAACACTTAAAGAAGAATACAAAAGCCATCATAATCATAGCCTTCCTAAACTTAGGTCACACTCTTCTACCAGGGTGCACGATGTCCATGGAGAAGATGTTCATAGGCACAGTGTCCATGGGCATACACGTATAGAAAACTAGCAGTGAGGCACATGAGAAGGTGCCAAGGAGAACTCATGACTCAGGTCTGGGGGCTTTGTTGCCCTCATTTCCTTTAGAGTACAGTCTGCACCACACATCAGCTCCTGGGTGAAACTGGCTTTTTTTCTAACTGTCATCAGCCCCCAGCTAGACAAGCCACTTATCTGCTACTCTAGGGCCAATTTTAGCAAACGGTAACCTTAAGTCTGAAGAGTTCAGTTCCCCATGTTTGTTCCCTTTTCTGGGCACCAAAGCCATATTTCACTCTTATGCTTAAAAGCACCCCCTTTGATTCTGTGATCACCAATGGTCTTCTTACCTGTGCTCTGGTTTTGAGGGGTTTCCCCTCTTAGCCATAGGGAGAAATCAAGGGCAGCAGAACCTCTGAGAAGTTTCCACTCTAGCAAGCTACTGATGGTGCGGAGAATAAGGCAGTCTTTCCCCCCAACCAGCTTTTTTGTTTTCTCTAATCATCTCCCAGAATCTAATAAGATCATTTCCATGTACCAACTGCAGAGCCTGTTTTTCTTTAGTCACATTGGACTCAATGGCCCTGCCTCTGCCAGCTTCTCAGTTCCATGGGCTTCTGATATCTATACCATCACTCCTCAGCTTTTCTTCTTGTTTCTCCAATGTCTCCTCCAATTTTTGCTTCTTGGTAACATTCCTGCCTGAAATTAAGGCCCCCTTAATTTCCCCAGTGCCTTCTCTGATTTTTACTTCTCAGTAACATTCCTGCCTGAAATTAAGGCCCCCTTAATTTCTCCAGTGCCTTCTCTGATTTTTACTTCTCAGTAACATTCCTGCCTGAAATTAAGGCCCCTTTGTACATAGCAACCCACTTCAATTGTAGGTTGAGAAACTCCAAATCCAAATTTCTGTCAGATTGAAAAAAATAGTCAATATGAAATTTTCCTGAGGTCACCTAACCAATTGCTTATGAGAGGTGAGGGAGATGAGTCAGAGATAACACCATGGTTTCAAACAAGAAAGGTTGCTGACTGGAGATAATCACTGACTGAGACTGTAAAATCTTGAAAAGAAGTATAAGTTTACAGTAAAATATAGTAAGTTTACTTATACATGTTGAATTTGAGATGAAAATATGACATCCAGGTAGAAATTCCCTTATGCAATTGGAGATACGGGTCAAGAGCTCAGAAGAAGGTTAGGGTTGGTGAAATAACAATAATAATAACTAGTATTTATATAGTGCTTACTTACTATGTGCCAACCATTGCATTAAGCACTTATACAAATGCCATCTCAGGGGCTGGAAACCTGAGGCCGAGGCCACAGGTTCTGCACCCCTGTACTATCTCATCTGACCCTCGCAACAACCCTGGGAGGGAGGTGATATTATCATCCCCACTTCATAGTTGGGGAAACTAAGACAAACATAGATAAAGATTTGGGAGCTTAGATATGGCCAGTGGAGCCATGGCAACGAATGAGATTGTCAAGGGAGAGAAAGTGTAGAGACAGAAGAGAAGAGAGCCAAGGACAGAAGTGTTTGGAGAACACAGATTTTAATAAATGAGGAAGTGGGGAAAGAGCAAGCAAAGGGGACAGAGAAAGAACAGTTAGGGAGGCAGGAGGAGGTTCAAGACAATATGTTGTTACTGAGACTTAGGAAAGAGATCGTATATAGGAAGGGGTGGTCATTAGTGTCAAATACTCTAGAGGTGACAAGTAGGATGAGGACAACTGGCCATGGGATGTGGCAATTTAGAATTCTCTTTGAGAAGGTCATTTTGGTAGACTCAGGTGGGAGGAGGGGGCCAGATTGAAAGAGGTTGAAGATGGAGTAAGAGAGTAAGCATAAATAAGTATGTATAGAATAATTTGACATATATGTGTATATATACATGTATGTATGTATATGTATATATGTGTGTATGTATCTACATCTACCTATATCTATATCTATCTATCTATCTATCTATCTATCTATCTATCTATCTATCTACTTATTTGTATCTAATGGTAGCCATCTGTAGGATGGGGAAGAGGGGAAGAAAAAAGGGAAAGAAAAAAATTTACATGAGAACTTGATTATATGTTTAAAATGAATAGCAAGTTGTACATAACACATTTGCATTTTCATGAGAAATCATCTTTTTTATTACTCTATGTTATGGAAATGCTTGTTTTATTTCATAAGTTACAAAAGGAAGAAAGAAAGAAAGAAAGAAAGAAAGAAAGAAAGAAAGAAAGAAAGAAAGAAAGAAAGAAAGGAAGGAAGGAAGAAAGAAATGATATGCAAACTCTTCAAAAGAAAGACAGAGAGAATAAGTGGTGGTTGTAAATGGATTTTTTTTCCAATTTAGTAGCAAAGGGGAGAGAAATGTGATCACATTTGGTTGGAATAGAAGGGTTATGCAAAGACTTTTTAAGATCGAGGAGACCCAAGCACGTTTGCAGGCCAATGGCAAAAGCCAGTGGAGAGGGAGAGATTAAAGAAGCCTGAATGAGAATATCATTGTTGAAGCAAGATCGCATAGTACTTATCAGAAGATGAAAGAATAATAAAGCATTTATTCAATGTCTGTTAAGTATAGAGGACTGTACTAAGTGCTTGGGACACAGACAGAAAAGTAGGACAGTTTCTACTCTCAGAGAACCTATATTTTAACCAGAGGCGACTTATTTTTTTTTATTATTGTTTAGCCATTTCAGTTGTGTCCAACTCTCCATGACCCCATTTGAGGTTTTCTTGGCAGAGATACTGTAGTGTTTGCTATTTCCTTCTCCAGCCCATTTTACAGATGAGGAACTGAGGCAAACAGGGTTAAGTGACTTACCCAGGGTCACATAGATAGTAAGTGTCTAAGGTTGGATTTGAACTCACAAAGATGAGTTTTCCTGACTCCAGGCCCGGCACTCTATCCACTGTGCCACCTAGCTGCTCTGATGCAGTGGGTAGAATGCTGTAATTGGAGGCAGGAAGACCTGGGTTCAAATCCCATCTCAGATACTTATTAGCTATGTGACCACAGGCAAGTCACTTTATCTCACGAGACTGTAGTTCCTTATCTATAAAATGAAGAGTGTGGATTCAATGACATGTGGGATCCCCTCTAACTCTAAGTCTGTGAGTCTATGATCTTAACATGGAAAACAACACATGTAGGAGATTTCAGCTCGCAGTTCAGATGGCAAGGTCCAGTGGTTCTTAGGCAGATGCT